CAACTCCCACCCTTCCTTCCAAATCATAATGTCCTTGACCGTCGCTAAAATCCTGACGGCACTCGTTTCTTGTGCAACCGCAATTACCCTTTTGACCCTCCTCCCCCTCCTCCTGAAATTCAAAGTCAGGGAACTGTTCTTGAGACAGAATGTGTTAGAGCTAGACCAAGAGGTCGGAATGTTGATGAAGCAGAATGAAGCAAGTGTGCACGTCCGCATGCTCACACAAGAAATCAGAAAGTCGCTTGATAAGCACAACATACTCTACACAACTCTCGTTGAGCTCTCCAAAACATTGAATCTCCAGAACTGTGTTGTTTGGATGCCAAGTGAGAATAGGAAAGAAATGAAGTTGACGCATGAGTTGAACCCTAATCCTAACCCTAATTCTTCTTGTCGTTGCATCTCGATCAATGATCCAGATGTCTTAGAGATAACAAAGAATGAAGGGGTGAGGATACTCAAACGAGACTCGGTTCTTGCCGATGCCTGTGGCGGTCCGATCGCGGCTATCCGAATGCCACTGCTTCGAGGTTCAAATTTCAAAGGTGGGACCCCTGAGCTGGTTGATACTTGTTTTGCCGTGTTAGTACTGGTTCTTCCTCCCGGTGGCGAGAATGGCAGGGATTGGAGCTGTGACGAGCTGGAGATAGTTGAGGTTGTGGCCGATCAGGTGGCTGTGGCATTATCCCACGCAGCGGTTCTTGAAGAATCTCAGTCGATGCGCGAGAGGCTGAAAGAGAAGAACCATTTGTTGGCGCAAGCTAAGGAGGACGCCGTGAAGGCCAGCAAGGCGAGGAGTGCCTTTCAGAAGGTGATGAATAACGGGATGAGGAGACCCATGCACTCGATCTTGGGATTGCTTTCCATACTCCAAGACCATACTAACAACAACTTGAAACCCGAAGAGAGGATTGTCATAGACACATGTGTACAAACAAGTACAGTGTTGTCTATGTTAATCAGCGATGCAATGGAGATATCTGCAAAAGATGATGGGATCTTCCCCGTGGAGATGAAGCCATTTCAGCTTCACTCTTTGGTACAGAAGGCTTGTTGTCTTGTTAAATGCTTTGCTTTTTGTAAGGGGTTTGGTTTTTCTACGGATGTTTCAAGTTCCTTGCCTAATCAGGTGATGGGGGATGAGAATAGAACATTTCAGGTTATACTTCATATGGTCGGGCATTTGTTCAACAAAAGTGATGGAAACTGCTTGGTGGTGTTCAGAGTTGGTCCTGAAAGTGAATCTGGGGATGGGAATAATAATAAAGTTCGGAATGCTAGAAAAGCAAGTTCTGGTGATGAAAATCTGGCAGTTAAATTCGAAATTGAAGTCACTGTTGAAGGGTCGGGCATTCATCCGGGCCGGAGAAAGCATAATAGTAGAGACGTGAAGGAAAGTTTGAGCTTCAGCATGTGCAGGAAGCTTGTGCAGGTAATAAATTAAGTGGATTTTATATAGCCTCCTTAGTTTTCATTATATTGATGGAAGGTAAATTTGATGTGAGATGAACTACACAAAATGCTTTCTCCAAAAAAGTGAAAAACTTGTTTCGAAATATGACATCCTATCTTATGCCATTTTCCAAAGAAAAGCAATGAATCCAGGAAATGATTTTCTCATACTGAATGCTTCTTTTTTAGTATTATCAAATATATAAATATTATGCCATTCCAAACACTTGAAAATCTGGAAATGAATTTTCTGCTGATAAAAAAGATCATAAATTGAAGGGTCCTTTTTATTAAAACATAGATGTCTCCATTTTGCAATTCTATTGTGAATTTCATTATTAATGTAGTTCTTCTTGATGCTCATTTCTTTCAACGGTTTAAAGTAGACTTCCGGAACAATAATCGTTTAAATAGTTGTTTAGTCAAATATATCAAATATAGACGTCCATTCTAGAAAATACAATGTAGTGTTACTTCATGGGAATGAACCACATTCCTTCCTGGCGAATGATATTTCATTTACATAATGTAATGTTTTCATCTCCTATAACATTGACATAATAAATGTGATGTCATGTTCCATTTATTGAATGTCTGATTCTCATTTTAATGTAGTGATGCATTACATTCTGACCTTGCAGGTGATGTCATATTTACGAAGTCTAACGTTTTAAGATGTTATGAAAGCGACACACTAAATATGACGTCACTTTCCAGATTCCATTTAGTATCTCTCACTTTGATGTAGTTCATCACTTTCTTAAGAGTGTCGTTTTTACCCGCAAAATTTGTTACTTGGGTTCTGTTTGTTTTTCAGGGAAAATGCTCTCCTGATTCGTTTGACACCAAATGTAAATATCTTACTCAAGTGTTTCTAAATGTTAAGGAAAAACTATGGAGTAATATTTAAGATCATAGGCTACTCCTTTTTGCTTAGGTTTCGACATTTTTAGAACGGAACCTCAAGTTTTAAAATGGTATAAGAGCTAACATATAGCAAAAAAAAGAAGCTAACGTATAGCAATGATGTTGGTCTTGTATGAAAAATGCGTGCTCTAGATGAGGTGTGGGGTTGCAAGTGTATATGTTGTTATGGAAAAATTGCCCAAACCAGACGAATGCCTATGTGTCAAGTTTGGAAAGATGTGTGTCCCTATGATTTGAAAAATTAAAAGTTGCAAGAGCTAAATGCGGTGCTCGGTAGCGAGAGGGTGTTGAAGAGTTTATCCACATGGCTAATATATAAGATACTACTTCTATAAGGTTGACATTTCCAATAGATCATGAAGTTGTGATATATTAACTTTGATTCTTTGTCCTCAATAGAGGACCTTGACTTGATTTACTTTTTCTGTCTTTTGGGTTAATAATATATTATACACAAAACAACTCAATTCATAGGAACATTGTACGGAGTATTAACAGGAGCATAATGCAATTCCTGTTGACCTCTTATGCTTGTTGCAGTTAATGCAAGGAAATATATGGATCTCCTCAAATTCCCGGGGCCGTGCACAAGGAATGATTCTGATTCTTAGATTCCAGAAGCAATCTTCATATAGACGGCGGGTCTTCGAATATAAAAATCCTTCTATTGAGCAACAAATTTCGAGCTCAACATTTAAAGACCTTAAGGTTCTTTTGGCTGATGACGATGGCGTGAACAGAATGGTAACTAAAAAGCTACTTGAGATGCTAGGCTGCCATGTCACTGCAGTTTCAACTGGTTTTGAATGTCTAAGTGCTTTGGGCGGCCCCACGGGAAGGACATCTTTCCAGATCATCGTGTTGGATCTTCACATGCCAGAAATGGATGGGTTTGAGGTGGTAAAGAGAGTGCGACAGTATAGGAGTCGTAACTGGCCATTGATTATCGCACTGACTGCAAGTTCGGAAGATCATATGTGGGACAAATGTCTTCAGGTGGGAATGAATGGTCTTATACGGAAACCAGTTATCCTACAAAAACTCGCAGATGAACTTCAACGAGTTCTTCTTCGGGCTCGAGAAGCCATGTGACAGGCGACAGCGAGCCTTGAATCCTCTGTATACAACTTATATTATTTAAAGAATTTGGATTTTGGTCTAGCTGGACTTTTGTAGTACGTGTATGAGTATATCCCTCTTTGAAAAGGAAATGAAGAAATGTGATAGAAGTTATTAATTTAAGAAATTGCAACGGTTACATTCAAATGTATTTTGGAGATGTTAGACCTCAATCTAAGGTCATTCTCATTGTTTTCTTGTGTTTGACCACAAAAAATAACTACTAAAATCAACCATCCTTCAAACCCTAATTAATAATGTCATTTATAACAAAAGAATGAAGAGTTTAAGTAACTCTTCAGACTCCAACTAAAATTACATCCATATAATTTTGCCTCCATATGTAACTCTTAAGAGTTTAATGCAATTCATAAGCAAGAAGACTGGGAATGGGAAAAGAAGCCAAAAGAAAAATGAGAAACCAAAAAGAAGAAAACAAAAAAGTCAAATTTACATTACATTTTAGTTGCTATAGAGGGTTGTTTCAGGTAAAATTGATCATATTAATTGTTTTTATAGAGTTAATGAGTTATATGAATGATGTATTTGACTATTTTTCCTAAAAAATACGGAGTACTACGTATAAAATATAAACCTGACAATCATAAATATAGATTATTCACATTTTTATTATAAATATATTATCTTATGCCCAAAAAAACTCCCACTTTCCTTTTAAAATGTCCCATAGTATTCATATAATTTTCTTATAAGGACTTTCTTTGTGTGATAGGTGTTACTATTAACCTTTTGTCATTAACTTCAACAACACAATTTCACTATCTTAATAAGTGCGTCAAGTCAAATTCAAAAGAAATTTTAGGGAGATTAGTATCATTTTATAATTATATAACTGAAAATAAAATCACTTTGTTATTTAGTGTTAAGTTATAGTTATTAATATTATACATTTATTATAGGAGTTCATTAAAAACTTCAATAATGACACTTTGTGAGAGGAAAAATAATATATTTGATTTCCCACCATAGTATCTTTGTGTGTTTAAATGAGTTTTTTCACATATAAGTGAGGAGCCCTGGTATCTTGCATTAAAGAGAGATTTGTTGACAACACATGATATGCCAGCTCCAGTGAAGGCAATATGTTGTAGGAATGTAGGGTGTGGCAAATGTCATTTTCACCCATTATCTTTAATTGTTCTATCTTACTTTGTATTGAATTTCGAGGTTAAATTTGTACCGAATTATTTAAAATCTTGATTTTATTTAATTTTGGGTGCTACTGATCAATTTTTTGTGGATGTATCATATACTTTGGAGATTCAGAAGCATCTTAAAGCGATCACAAAAGACTGAGAATACAATGGGATTCATCAGGTCAAACAAGGATTGGCCATCCAACTCAATTCTGGAATGTGCTTTAACAAATTAACGCCAATCTGAGTTGCTCTTAAGTCTCAACTCTCAAGCTTTTATCAAGCACACTTTTCATGGTTCAAGCTCTATTCCTCTAATACACGAGCTCTAAAAAAAATAACCTTCAGTGATTTGATTCATATTGCATTACTGTTATTAGAATAACATTTAGACTGATAAAAAGTTTCATATTGCATTACAAAAAAAAAAGAGAAAAAGAACGCTCACAACACACTGTTATCATGTACGTCATGGAGGAATAATGTTACACAATTTCATTAAGTTTCTTCTATGTTAAATGACTCGCAGCATGAGAATGGGACATGAAAATTCATACAATGCACGTGATATATCTGCGACAATAAATTGTCACACTTCTACAACATCCATCGTGCACTCTAGAACCAAACTTGGCAAAGAGGAAAAAAATCCCAAAGTCGGGTGAAAAATGGATCAACCGTCACTGGTCAGTGTGAAGGCAAGAATAACAATGGTCAGTGTGAAGATGATGGTCATGCCTGAAAACACCCGAAGTACTTTGTTCGGGGGGGTCTGGTTAACGGGCCCATTCATATCTACTTCTTCTAAGAGCTCTCTAACTTTATCCATGTTGTAGTCCTTAGCTGCTTGCACTAATCCGCCATGTATCTTCTCCAGCTTAACGAGTCTGTTGTTTTTTGACTTGTCTTTGACTGGCCAGAATAGGCCTATCAGTTTCCATAAGCATATGCCCATGTAGAAGGCCACAACCACATCTACACTGTAATGGTGGCGTTCCCTTATTTCTCTTTGGGCACTATGCAGCAAAAGACACCACACAATTGCCGAGCTATATCCACCGTACGCTTCCTGCATTAGTTTTTCACAACAGATGAGTTAAAGGCTACGTCTGGTAGCCCTATCTCGTTAGTTTGCAGAATAAGCAGGTTTTGACACTGGTCACATACACCATAACCATAACCAAATGGGCCATATTGGGATCGGTACTTATCAATCAATTTTTTTAATAAACTCTTTGCTGTTTGAAAAAATTATAATGAAAAAAATCAAGTGTCATAGAAGTTACATTTTTTACAGAACAGGTGGAAATGAAACACTTCTTGTCATTTTTCATAACGACTACTATTTTCTCCAATTTATGTAGATCATTGTTCAAACACGAAGTACATTTTTAGCCAATCCAACCTCAATTTCAATGAAAACACTAGCTAAAGTATTTGGAATCTAACAGTCTAACCCTTGCCAAATGGGGTCTACAGGTTACAGGAAATGAAATGCAACTTTCAGTCACTAAATATCAGCACAGCACAAGAAGAATATGGTAGGATAACAAATGTTAAGGAGGCATACCGTCCATGCCATAGTGGTCAGTACTGCAACAAGCATGTGGCCGCTATAGATGAGGTCATTACAGCCACCTCCAGCTTTCTTCAACAGATGGTACCATGAAGATGAACCCTCTTGAGATGTAGGCCGTAAGAAATCAATAAGAAAGCTCATTACCCCCCAATTGGGCCGAAATTCTGCTTTGTAATCCCCCAGATTAGCTGAAAAGGAATAATCAAAAGCGTTTATGAAGACTCAAAAGCATAAGATACAAGAAAGTATTCCACTCCTGGTCCCAAGATGATTACATTGGTTCCACTTTTGGTCATCAACTTTCTTTTATTTTCCCTACTTTTTGGTGCATGACTATAGATTTATGGCCATCTTTGTCCTTCCCGATCGCTTATCCGGCAAAAGAATTTCTAAATAAATTGTATGATAAGTTGCAAGAAGGACCAAAAATGGTAATGCAGCTATTGTCGTGCACCAAAAGTGAAAAAAATAGAAGTCATTGAACAAAAATTTGGAAAAGGTTAATAGTCCTGGGGCCAAAAATTCAGATTTTTTGAAAGAGAATACCATATGCAGTATCCCAGCTAATAACTTGGCGTATAGCTTGAGAATCTTTGGCATATGGAGTATAATACTTCTGAGCCCAACGGTGAGGATGATAAGGAACATGAAATCGAGACTGTGCACACCAAGGCCTTGCAGATGGCAAAATTGTAGAAACAAATGCAATGGTCCTAAAAAGACGCCCACAACCCATTGTGAACAAGTATCTTGCTCCTAGCCCAAGACCAGGAGCTTCAACATATTCAAACAGTACAGAAAAGGCAAGCATCACAAACAGCATCAGAAAATGATGCAATCCAATTATATCAGCTCTCAATATGTCAACCATTACTTGAGGTAGCTTTTCATTCAATGCCAGAAGCAACCACTGGCCAACATCAGGAAGAGGCGATGTTTCACTGTCACGTTGTAAATCATATTTTAAGCTAGTCTATACTGTTTATTGTTACATACGAAGGATGTTTTTACTTGGACTGAAAATTTCTGGTATGGTCTGCCAAGATCTGGTATGGTAAATGTCTGGTCTCCATGTATTTCACAACTTTCAAAATCTAGTCTGATCTGGTCTAGTCTGGGACTGAAATAAATCCAAGTAAAAACATCCTAACTTTGGACAACGAAAGTTTTTAGAAAAAAACCAATATGAATTTAACAAAAGATGTCCTTAGTGATGGCGGGTGATCCACCATCCAATCATCCATCATTCACTTGAAGGATGATTCCACAGTTACCTGAACCTTCCCCTCATCCATTCTAAATCTGTATCCATAATCTTTCATTATCCTACCAAAAATAGAAATTGCATTCTTTTTATATAGATTGTGTAGGTTTTAGGAATAAAACTTCCTTGATATTATTGAGCCATCCGGCTATGGTATATATACATGTTACAGATAAAATCAAGTTGTTACAGATCCTAAAAAATAGGATCTATCTATTCTATCTATTCTGTGAGCTTATCTACTAATTAGAGAGTCCTATCTACTCTAATTCTTATCTACACAGTTCCGGATGTACAAGTAATTAAAATAACAAGAATATGTTACATTTTTCTACACTCCCCCTCAAGTTGGTAAGTATATATCATACATTCCCAACTTGCTTATAAGTAGCTCAAATATAGGTCTAAATAACCCTTTGGTGAAGATATCAGCTGTTTGATCTTTAGTGGATACAAATGGTGTACAAATGATTCCAGCTTCAATCTTCTCTTTAATGAAATGTCTGTCCACTTCAATGTGCTTAGTTCTATCATGTAGCACAGGGTTATGAGCAATGCTTATAGCAGCTTTATTATCACAATATAACTTCATAGGCAGCTCAATCTCCATCTTTAGTTCTGTGATTACTCGTTTGATCCAGAGTAACTCACATATTCCATTAGCCATTGCTCTGAATTCTGATTCTGCACTACTCCTAGCAACCACATTTTGTTTCTTACTTCTCCAGGTTACTAGATTTCCCCATACATAGGTGCAGTATCCAGAGGTAGATCTCCTATCAGAAATTGAGCCAGCATAATCCGCATCAGTAAAAGCTTCAATTTTCCTATTGTTTCCCTTTTTGAAAAACAATCCTTTCCCTGGACAGCTCTTCAGGTATCTTAGAATCCTGTAAGTAGCATCAAGATGTTCTTGGAAAGGATGATGCATAAACTGACTTACCATGCTTACTGCAAATGCAATATCTGGTCTAGTGTGTGCCAGATATATTAATTTTCCTACCAATCTTTGATATTGGTGAATATCAACTGGATTTCCCTCCTTGATATCTCCCAATTTCTGACTTGGGTCAATTGGAGTGTCTGCTGGTTTGCAGGCACTCATTCCAGTTTCCTGTAGAAGATCTAAAACATATTTCCTTTGTGAGACAACAATACCCTTCTTTGATCTAGCTATCTCCATTCCTAGGAAAAAATTTAAATTTCCTAGGTCTTTAATCTCAAATTCATGAGCAAGTTTGTCTTTCAATCTTTTAGTCTCTGTGTGATAATTTCCTGTGAGGATAATATCATCTACATAGACAATTAAGATTGCAATCTCCCCCTTACCTGAAAACTTCATGAATAAAGTATGGTCAACTTGAGCTTGATTAAATCCTTGCTTTTTTATGAACTTTGTGAATCTGTCAAACCAGGCTCTTGGAGACCGTTTAAGTCCATATAAAGCCTTCTCTAATCTGCAAACCTTTAACCCAAACGTATTTTCAAACCCAGGTGGAGGTTCCATGTACACTTCTTCTTCAAGTTTCCCATTTAAAAAAGCATTCTTTACATCCAGTTGTTGTAATGGCCAGTCTAAATTGGCAGCAAGAGAAAAAAGAATTCTTACAGTGTTCAACTTTGCAACTGGTGCAAAGGTTTCTTTGTAATCAATTCCATAGGTCTGTGTGTACCCCTTGGCAACTAGTCTTGCCTTATATCTCTCCAAACTTCCATCTGCCTTAAACTTGGGGTTGAAAATCCACCTGCAACCAACTGTAGGTTTATTTTTAGGTAACTCTACAAGCTTCCATGTCTGATTCTTTTCAAGAGCCTCCATCTCCTCCAAAACAGCTCTCTTCCACTAAGGTTTAGATAGGGCATCCTGTATGGTTGTAGGAATAGAAATAGAAGAGATGCTGGAAGTAAAGGATGCAAAGTCTGATGTTAATTTAGAATAAGAAACATAGTTTGAGATGGGGTATTTAACACATGTTCTTCTCTCTTTTCTGAGAGCAATAGGAAGGTCAAAGTTGCTAGAAGTATTACCTTTTTCACTTCCTGACATTGAGGCAGAATCATGGACAGTTGTAGGTTTTTGAACTTCCTCTATTCTTTGATTTCTAACCCTACTCTCATAAGTTTTTTCAAAGAACTGACTTGTCTGTTGATCCTTTTCAATTGGTTCAGTTGGATTTACTTCATTATTTTTAATTCCTTGATCATTTTCAGGTGTACTGATATTTGAAAAACCATTATCATCTTGATTAATATCAAGAAAATTAAAACTTTCATGAATATTTGGCATTATAGGAACATCTTCACTTAATTTCTCCCCCTGAAGATGAGAATAAAAAAAAGGTTGTTCTTCCATAAAAATAATATCCATAGTAACAACCATTGTTTTGGTTGTAGGATCAAAACATTTATACCCTTTTTGAGTGGCAGAAACACCTAGAAACAAACATTTTTTCCCTCTAGGATCAAACTTACTTGCAGATTTATCTGGATTTTTGATAAACACTGTGCAACCAAATTTTTTTAAAGGAAGGGTGTTTACCAATCTATTTGTAGGAAAGAAGTGTTGTAGTAAACTACTAGGACTTTTAAATCCTAAAATTTTGGATGGCATGCGATTAATTAAATAAGTTGCATGTAACACTGCTTCTCCCCACAAATATTTTGGTATGTTTGTTGAAAACATGATTGCACGAGTGACTTCAAGTAAATGTCTATTTTTTCTTTCTGCAAGTCCATTTTGAGCTGGTGTATTGACACAAGAGCTTTGATGAATAATGCCTTTTTCAGAAAAAAAGTTGTTTAAAGTTTGAGAAAAATATTCACGGCCATTATCACTTCTTACCATTTTAATTTTGGTATTGAATTGAGTTTGGACCATAGCATAAAATGTTCTAAATATTTTCTCAACTTCAGATTTTTCTTTGATTAAAAATACCCATGTGACACGAGTATGATCATCAATAATAGTTACAAACCATCTCTTTCCCTTTAAAGTTGGTATTCTAGATGGGCCCCAAATATCACTATGTACCAAGGTAAAAGGGCTAGTAGGTTTATAACTGTGGGGTAAATAGGTGTTTCTGTGATGTTTTGCAAGATCACACATATCACAATTAAACAAAGCAGCATCTTTATTAAAAAATAATTGAGGAAACATCTTTTTTAAATAATAGAAACTAGGATGTCCTAGTCTATAATGAAGTAAATACAACTCTTTATTGTTTGAAAAAGAAACAGTTTGCAAACAAGCATTTCTTAGACCTTTTTTATTAGATTGAGTTTCTCCATCAAAGATATAGAGTCCGTCCTCCTCCTTAGCACTGCCAATCATCTTCCCCGATGCTAGGTCCTGAAAAATGCAATGAGAGGGATAAAAAATGACACAACATTGTAGATCTTTAGTTATTTTACTAACTGAAGTAAGATTGCAGGATAGATTAGGGACATGAAGGACTTTGGATAGATTCAGTGATGAAGAAATACTAATATTTCCCATCCCTGCAATGGTTGATAGAGAACCATCTGCAACCTTAACCTTTTTATCTCCTGCACTAGGTTTATATGAAGAAAAAAGGTTTGAAATAGAAGTCATGTGATCAGTAGCCCCTGAGTCAATAATCCAGGTATTTTTAGATTTCCCAGAACAAAAAAAATGATGAATAGGTACCATTTTGGGCATAAGAGCAAGAGGAAGATTCTGGTTTGGATTCTTTCTGGGAATTTTGGGTTTTCTGGGTATTAAGGAAGTTAAGAAGTTGCCCTATCTGCTCCTGAGTGAATGAAAGTTGATTGAACTTGACTTGTGGTTCATGTTGAGTCTCAGTCACAGTTGTTTGTAGGGCTTTCTCAGTTTTTTTCTTTCCTGCCCCTGGTGGTTTGCCATGAATTTTCCAACAAGTCTCCCTAGTGTGCCATAATTTCTTGCAATGATCACACCAGGGTTTCTTCTTGTCATCACTCCTAGCCACCATTGCTGAAGAGTCCCCAGATTCCTCATTATGTACTGGAGTGCTGTACATAACCTTCTTCCTGCTATCCTCCATCCTGATTTCAGAAAATACCTCCCAGATAGAGGGTAGAGGTTTTTTTCCAAGTATCCTCCCCTTAATTTCATCTAGGTCCCTATTGATCCCTGCTAGAAACATATAGACCCTATCATTCTCTTCTCTTTTCTTATGTCTGGCCAGATCCTTAGCACTCTCCCACTCTTCATCACCATAGCATTGATCTAATTCTTGCCACAGAGATACCATTTCATTGTAGTATGAAATAATATCCCTATTTCCTTGTTTAGATTGCCACAGTTTGGTTTTGAGTTCAAAAATTTGAGAAGAGTTCTCAAGATCTGAATAAGTTTCCTTAATAGAATCCCATACCTCCTTTGCAGTTTTCATAAACATATGAGGTTTGGCAATTAAGGGCTCCATGGAGTTGAGAAGCCAAGCTGTTATGAGTGAATTCTCTGACCTCCATGTACTGTACCCTTCTTCTGCAGGTAGTTTTGGTTGGATTTCTCCTGTGATGTAACCCAGCTTTCCCCTCCCATCAATTGCAAGTCTGACAGATTGAGACCACTCCAGATAGTTTGTTCCATTCAATCTATGACTAGTAATTATCATAGATGAATGAATAGGAGACTGATAATTTGTCATAGAGCTAATTTGGGAGTTAGGGTTGATAGTGTGTGATGAATCAGCCTCACTGGTTTCTATCATGGTTTAAACCGAGGCTCTGATACCATGTAGGTTTTAGGAATAAAACTTCCTTGATATTATTGAGCCATCCGGCTATGGTATATATACATGTTACAGATAAAATCAAGTTGTTACAGATCCTAAAAAATAGGATCTATCTATTCTATCTATTCTGTGAGCTTATCTACTAATTAGAGAGTCCTATCTACTCTAATTCTTATCTACACAGTTCCGGATGTACAAGTAATTAAAATAACAAGAATATGTTACATTTTTCTACAGATTGATTATGAATGAAATCTCTAGAGGTTGCTTAATAAATGAACTTGCAGTTAGTCGAGTTTATTTCTTCATTTGCTCAAATTAAAAACAAATCCGCAAATTAAATAACCCGATCTAATATTTTTCACGAAGGCATTACAGAAAAGCATTACTTGAATCACTCAAAACTAGAAAAGGAATGAGATTATAAATAAAAGTGGTGTGAGCTGCGTACTTGTGCCAATCCAGGCCGAGCACGGCGGTGACAGAACGGACTGAAATGGCTTCAATGAGGAGGGCGGAGAGTAAGAAGACTATAGACAAGACGAAGGGAAGCGCAGAGCGAAGCTCAGCAGGCCAGTGCTTGTAGAAGGGAACACGGATGATGGCTGCAATTGCCAGGACAATCCATAGCACTGGCTGAATCCAAGAGTGCAAATGTGGCGAGATGAAGCGGAGGTAGTCCACTCCAATGTAGGCTATGGCGATGAATCCCAGCCCACCGCCTCGCCGGTGTTTCCATATCGCCGCCAGGGCTGGTTCTGAGAAAATGGAGACTGTGCAACAAAAAAAGTGGGCCTTCCTTTTCAAGTTTCAACAAATACAACTAATTTGTCTTAAAATACAAGCTACTAATTAGCACAATAATAATAAAAAATAAAAGTATTCATTAATACTCCGTACTTGGGGTATTCATATTATTTTTCCTTTAGAAAAATGAAATAGAAAACAGGGAAATTTGGTAAGCATGTGTTCAAATTTGGGAAATGGAACATCGAGAAATGGAAATAGAAAAAACGGAGAATGGAAAACAGAAAAAGAAATCGGAGATCTCGAGAAATAAGTAAACGGACCCTAATTTTTTCTTCCATTTTGAGATCATAGGTAAAGATATGATATCTTAGATTTTTTGAATGGGTCTGGTGACAAAAAAAACATTGTGAAAGTAGTAAATTACCTATCAAAGTTTGATTAGGTTTCTCAGAATTTGCTTAGGTTTTAACACTCAACAATATCATTAATTTAACTTAATATTTCTAAACAAATACTATTAACTAAATCAATTAATGAGCTAATCAACAAAAGAGGACAGGAGGAATACCGGAACTACGGAAGGTCGGAATGTAAGAATTGAGAAGGGCCGCTGGCCGAACCGCCGAAGGATGAGTGGCAGAGTGCCGCAGGCGATCGAGCGACGGGTGTGAGGCGAGTAGGAGACGACTGACGCGACGTGATGCGGTGCTGGCGCCTGGCGGAGTGGCGGTGCTTCTGTGCCGTGTGCTAACGTCTGCCGAAAGGCGAAGCCGAGAAGGGAGTCGGCGATTTGGCAGGGCGTTCGACACTTCGACCGTTCGATGATGACAGATGCCGGGTCGCCTTCCTCATGTTTGGGCGGTTTGTTAAATTTGGGCCGTTGGGCCTTTTGTTAATCTTGGCAAGGCGTTTTGTGAATTTTTGGCCTTTGGGCGGTTGGTCCGATAAAACTTTACATTATGAACGAAAAAATCAACCCACTCATACATTTTTTTTGAAAGGAAACTAATTACTCTCTCAGTTATTTTTTAGTTGTTTCCGTCACCATTTCACATTTGACAACGCAGGTCTTTAATCGTAATTATATCTTAATTCTATTAGTAAAAAAATATTAAAAATCCGATTTTTGAATATTTGTAATGAGATGAATTGAACAATTTTTTTTAAAATAATTTTCATAAAAGAATAGCGTAAAATGTAGTCAAAGTAGAGCATGTGAATAGTGTAAAATTCAACATGTTGCGATTAAAACGCAACGGAGGATAGTATATTATAGCAAATAACGGTAACAAAGTTCCCACAATCACACAACGCCAAACCTCCCCATGAAGCTCCGCATAGCCAAACGGTCCTTTCACTCTCTCACTAGACATAGAATAGACTACCCTAAAGAGAGCGAGACTATTCGCTAACCATGTGAGAGCTTCGAAGCTTTTAGCGACCATACAAGCCTTATCGCTTCGACCGACAAAATGATCCTGACAAATGACCAAACAAACAAAAAGCCTACCTCTACTGTCCACAAAAATACCAAGAACAAAGTACCAAACATAAAATAAATAAACGCATAAGAAAGACAACGTCTGAAGGTATTAAGCCTTCTTTATTCTCATGTGATGCGAAAGGATCATATCTGTGTATGGCGAGCCATAGGGTTGTAGCTCGCATTTTCCCCATTTTTTGCCCGAGTATGCTCTCTCCATTTCCTCCCTATAAAGGAGGTCTCCTGTTTCCTCCACACGTCTACGCTTCTGTTCCAGCTTCCCCCCTCCTTTTGTAGCATCCTGTCCTCCAAAGCGCTCTCTTTCTTGTCATTCTCACTGACTCCAAGATTATCTTGGTGATTAATGTTGATCCCTTTTCCCACTGGGACAAACCATTTGTTCTCCCTCAGCTGCACTCCTGCTTTTGTTGCCCTAAGCCACGGATCGAACGGTCTCTCCCCTGTTTTCTCGTGTCCCACCCTCTTACGAGGGTAATGACTTTCTGCATGTCCTATTATCCCACATATGAAGCAAAAACTGGGCAATTTCTCATATTGAAATTTGACACAAAAGTTGATTCATTCCTCCTTTTGCAAGAATAGTTTCCGTTTTAGGGGTTTTCCCAGATCAAGGCTGACACGAATTCTCATAAAGGGATGCCATTTTTCAGAAAAGTTGTGTTCATATACTTTTATAAAGAGCCCCAGAAAATTCCCTATATGTTTCGCATTCGCTATGGTAAAATATCCTACCGGTATGTCATGGACTTGAATACAAAGCTTAGCTCTATTCCGTGGAATAGACATAGGAATATCACCTTCTTTTACTTTGCTAATAACAATTAAGTTTTGAAAAAAAAAATCAATGGTCCCTCATCTACTACCCTATTCATATCTTCCTTATCATAGAATTATAGCATGTATCTTGTAGGCCCTATTTCTGTTATGGTCACGCCCTGGATTCCAAACAGATGCCATAATATCCCAAAACTAGTAAAACGTACTGATTTCTCTGACGTGATTGTTCCTACCGGGGGCAGGTTGTGACTAGAAGCGCTTTGTGCCATAGGTTCCACGACAAATCGATAATGAATTCATCTTCCTCTTCCATCTCCATTTGTCCATACGCTTGTTCTAAAGCTTCAATTTCCCCCTAGTTGTATTCCTCCACCATTTTGGTCAAAGTAGCTTTTGGATTTCCAATTCTCTGAGCCTTCGTCGTGGAAGAAGTACGATGTGAACAAAATGCCTCAAATAAAGAACGGACTCCGCACCGACTCGTTAAACCTCTGTTGTGGAAGGAAACTGCCGGTATGAGTCTGTCCAACTGTCCAAAGCATTCACATCTGAATTAAAATTATAATTATAATAATAATTATATATAATTTTATAAATATTCAAATCAGATCAGATCAGAAAGATTCAGATCAGATCAGAAAGATTCAGATCAGATCAGAAAGATTCAGATCAGATCAGAATGATTCTGATCAGATCAGAAACATTCAGATCAGTTCAGAACTTAAAAAATTCAGATCAGAAACATTCAGATAAGGTGAAGAGAACAACTTCTTACTTGTGTGTTTTTTACATCCTTTTTATTTAATAAATGACAATAAATATGTGTAAATAATCCACATTATGAAAAAAATCGATGTGCATCGCACGAGTACTAGACTGGTATATATAAAAGTTGGGCCTCCTCCTTGTCTGTTTCTCTTCATTTTTTCTCTTCTTCCAATCTTCTTTGCTGCCATTCATGAAAAAAAAATCTATTTAATTTGTTTTTCTGTTTTGTCTGTATATTTATTTCATAATGCTGTCTAGAGATGTTATTTTCAGTGACAGAGTGTCTCGTTTCAAAAATATCTCTTCGTGAATTATGGACATGATTTTCTTCTGCACTAGTATTGAGGCGGATCATCCCTCTCCTGAGCCACCGTAGTTATAGAAAGATGGGATCACATGGATGCTTTCTTTTTGATGACCGGTGAAACATTACCAAACTTTACAATTGCCTCCTTACTGATGTTTGGTACATCGAGAAGTTTAATACTATTGGTAGTTCCTTTCATAATTATTGTGGTCATCAGTGGTGGATCCAGAAAGTCGGAGCCACGGGGTCCCTACCCTTTTATATCTCTAATCTCTAATTAATATAAATTTGGGCGACAACGCGAGTTCGCGAGTGGGGGGCACGGTTGGTGGTCGCCTGGTCTTTGACGGCACCCCATGGCGGCGACGCGGCGTGGAGTGGGGACCGGAGGGCTGGAGGCGGAACGTCGAACTCTCGTGCAGAGGCGTAGCCGCGTAGGTCTAAAGCTGGAATCGATCGAGTGCTATGCCTCTGCGTTTAAGGATTGGCAACGATTAAAAAAAGGCCAAAACGACGTAGTTTTGGTATATTTAATTAAAATAGTTTTGGAAAACAAAAAAGGAACTCAAGGGGATTCAAAAGTGGTACCTCCCGCAACATAGAAAGTTTCAATCCCGCGCATGCTCCCATTCCCCTGCTCCGTCCTTTTGGTTGTAAGGTCGTTTTTTGTGTAAATATACATTGAATAATTAATATATTTCGAGGTGCACGGGGTCCCGGGACCCGTGGAACACTTAGTACTACTGGGTATGCCTCCGGTGGTCATAGTATTAAGTATTAACAATCAAAATGAAGGTATGGTCTACATCTTTGCGGGATTATCGATTTGATGTTTTCGATTTGAATTATCAGTTTTTATGTTTCATCTCATTGTAACATTGAAATGTACAATTTTAATTGTTATTCTTATTTTTATCATATCAATGATCATTAAATTATTCCCTTTCCAAAAAAGAAAAAAAGGCATAATGTAGCTAGGGATAAGATCCCAAAATTCAGATCCAAAAAGAGGCGGACGACCTGACAAAACCAAACCCTTCATTTGTATTAGGTTCTAAAATGAAAGAGCACCATCAAACTAGCTACAACTCCATGAATTCAGCAAACTCTCTTTCCCAAGATTCCGCATTAGTTTATGTTATTGGGAAATTGGCTGCAGTCGCACTTGAGAGCCATCATATATACCATAAATGTGTATAATATGTCTTTTTCATCCTCAAATAAATAAACTTGTGAGCAGGCATGTGTTCAAGTACGGGACTTTATCCTTCATTTCATTCTTCATTATAACTTCGAGTCCAATTGTCCAAATTAAATTAATTAACCAATGAACACGTTTATACATAGTATGTGTTTTATGGTTCAAAAGAACAAAAAAAGCATCAGTCGAGTCTTGTATAACAATAACAGGGGAGCGCATATAAGGAGTGGGGTTGCCTTCACTAATTTCTTAATAAACTACACAATCAAATATAAACACTTCCTAATTTACCTCTTATATATACTTCCTCCGGTTCTTATTTAAGTTCCCAGTTTGACTTCACACATATTAAGAAAATGAATTTGACTTTACTGTGGAGTGCACTGTTTGGCACTGTTTGGCACTGTTTGGCACTGTTTGGCACTGTTTGGACACTGTTTGGCACTGTTTTGCACTGTTTTGTTTCCTAAAATGGAAGTGTGAATTTAAATAAGGGACATCCCAAAAAGGAAAGTGAGAACTTTAATAAGAACCGGAGGGAGTATAGAGAATTTGGTTCAAATGAGAAAATGATCATATCAGAGAAATGAGAATTAATCTGGACCGTTAGATTGTATTAAGTGAAATTGAATGTGATTAGATTAAACTGAAATGTGATGAAATGAAATTGAAATGTGCAGCACCAGGAGTACAATACAGTGACTTTATGTGAACGAAGTTGAAATGTGCATTAGGTGAAACTAAAATGTGCATAGTAAAAGATATGATGTGGTGTCATTTTTATACATTTTTTTTGCACATTTCAATTTCACCCAATTCAAATTTTAATTTTACCTTTTATTCTACACATTTCGATTTCACTTCTTGCATAATTCAATTTTATCAAATGCACAATTCAGTTTCACAAAATGCAATCTAACGATTTAGATTCGTTCTCATTTCTCTTTTGAGAGTCCTTTCTCATCGGAACCTCTCTCTCTACACACATAGAGAGAGAACTAATCTGGTCAATCCAGTATGATCAGATCTCCCTTCCGGCCAATCCCATTTGAGGAGCTTTCGGGTCAAATTCTGTGATGAAATAAATTGAGCATGTTCTTAATGAAGTGTAGGTTATCTACATATTACATATACAAACTTTCAATTTAAAGATCAATTGGAAATTTGTCAAATAATTAAATAATTGGAACATACTGTGCTTTATATATATATATATATATATATATATATATATATATATATATATATATATATATATATATATATATATATATATATATATATATATATATATATATATATATATATATAT